TTTAGGTCCAAAAAGAGGACATGTCCGGGAAAAAGAGGACGTATTGTCACCCTAATGATGGGACACCACCACTTAAGACTCCCTGTAACTCTTCTGATGTCAAGTCTCGCACACCCAAATACCTCTCTGCAGCTGCCACCACAACCTCAATTTTCTTCGCCTTACGAGAACAAATTAATAACCATTGCTATAAACGCTAAAAATCCAATCTTAATTCACTCCTACTGTCACAGACTCATCTTTATCCTGACCCTCGGTGCAAGCCTCTGGCTCCGAGTACTTCACCCTAATTCAATTCAATTTCTCCTCCTGTCTTTGCTTACATTTCCTACCATTCTTCTTTACCAAACCTTCTCCCTTTTCCCAGCCATTGTTTCCCGACTCAAGATCATATTCTTCCTCCCTCTCTCTCTCTTAGACCTCCTCTGCCTCTCTTTTTCCTTCCATTCCTCCTCCGCCATCCAAGTATACATCTCCTTATCCCACAGCTGTCTGTCGTTTTTTCCTCCACCTTCAGCCACCAACTAGCTATCCCTGCGCTCTGTTGCTACACCGACCCTTTCTCCATTTCCTCCGCACTACTTGCCCCCATTTCCGCCCCTACCCTGCATGCAGAATGTCAGCCGCTAGTCCCCCAACGGCTGTCATTTAAACGTTTCACCACGGAGATGCAGGAAACCAGGAACTAGCTCTTGCGCAATAGTTTTCTGCCAGCAGCACAAACCATGAAGTCAATTTGTATGTTAATGAAGAAACCTTCAAAATAAAACCCCGCATTTCAAAACTTTGCAGCGTGGATAATTCATTAAAATTATATTTAATTTGAATCATTGGGCGCTTGTGTGCCAACAAGAAAATGCAATAAAATCAAATGTGTTTTTAAAAACATTTTTTAAGACCAATAATGAAAAAATACAATGTTGACACTGGTATGTTGAGAATATTGGCTTGTAGAGAGATAACCTTTTTTCCTGTCTCAGCTACCACGCTGTGTTGTCATGTGTTGCTGCCATGCTATGTTGTAGTCTTAGGTCTCTCTTTATGTAGTGTTGTGGTGTCTCTCTTTATGTAGTGTTGTGGTGTCTCTCTTTATGTAGTGTTGTGGTGTCTCTCTTTATGTAGTGTTGTGGTGTCTCTCTTTATGTAGTGTTGTGGTGTCTCTCTTTATGTAGTGTTGTGGCGTCTCTCTTTATGTAGTGTTGTGGTGTCTCTCTTTATGTAGTGTTGTGGCGTCTCTCTTTATGTAGTGTTGTGGTGTCTCTCTTTATGTAGTGTTGTGGTGTCTCTCTTTATGTAGTGTTGTGGTGTCTCTCTTTATGTAGTGTTGTGGTGTCCTCTCTTTATGTAGTGTTGTGGTGTCTCTCTTTATGTAGTGTTGTGGTGTCCTCTCTTTATGTAGTGTTGTGGCGTCTCTCTTTATGTAGTGTTGTGTTTTATGTAGTGTTGTGGGGTCTCTCTTTATGTAGTGTTGTGGTGTCTCTCTTTATGTAGTGTTGTGGTGGTCTCTCTTTATGTAGTGTTGTGGTGTCTCTCTTTATGTAGTGTTGTGGTGTCTCTCTTTATGTAGTGTTGTGGGTCTCTCTTTATGTAGTGTTGTGGTGTCTCTCTTTATGTAGTGTTGTGGTGTCTCTCTTTATGTAGTGTTGTGGTGTCTCTCTTATGTAGTGTTGTGGCGTCTCTCTTTATGTAGTGTTGTGGTGTCTCTCTTTATGTAGTGTTGTGGTGTCTCTCTTTATGTAGTGTTGTGGGTGTCTCTCTTTATGTAGTGTTGTGGTGTCTCTCTTTATGTAGTGTTGTGGTGTCTCTCTTTATGTAGTGTTGTGGGTGTCTCTTTATGTAGTGTTGTGGCGTCTCTCTTTATGTAGTGTTGTGGTGTCTCTCTTTATGTAGTGTTGTGGTGTCTCTCTTTATGTAGTGTTGTGGCGTCTCTCTTTATGTAGTGTTGTGGTGTCTCTCTTTATGTAGTGTTGTGGTGTCTCTCTTTATGTAGTGTTGTGGTGTCTCTCTTTATGTAGTGTTGTGGTGTCTCTCTTTATGTAGTGTTGTGGCGTCTCTTTATGTAGTGTTGTGGTGTCTCTCTTTATGTAGTGTTGTGGTGTCTCTCTTTATGTAGTGTTGTGGTGTCTCTCTTTATGTAGTGTTGTGGCGTCTCTCTTTATGTAGTGTTGTGGTGTCTCTCTTTATGTAGTGTTGTGGTGTCTCTCTTTATGTAGTGTTGTGGTGTCTCTCTTTATGTAGTGTTGTGGTGTCCTCTCTTTATGTAGTGTTGTGGCGTCTCTCTTTATGTAGTGTTGTGGCGTCTCTCTTTATGTAGTGTTGTGGTGTCTCTCTTTATGTAGTGTTGTGGCGTCTCTCTTTATGTAGTGTTGTGGTGTCCTCTCTTTATGTAGTGTTGTGGTGTCTCTCTTTATGTAGTGTTGTGGTGTCTCTCTTTATGTATGTTGTGGTGTCTCTCTTTATGTAGTGTTGTGGTGTCTCTCTTTATGTAGTGTTGTGGTGTCTCTCTTTATGTAGTGTTGTGGTGTCTCTCTTTATGTAGTGTTGTGGTGTCTTCTCTTTATGTAGTGTTGTGGTGTCTCTCTTTATGTAGTGTTGTGGTGTCCCTCTTTATGTAGTGTTGTGGTGTCTCTCTTTATGTAGTGTTGTGGCGTCTCTCTTTATGTAGTGTTGTGGTGTCTCTCTTTATGTAGTGTTGTGGCGTCTCTCTTTATGTAGTGTTGTGGTGTCTCTCTTTATGTAGTGTTGTGGTGTCTCTCTTTATGTAGTGTTGTGGTGTCTCTCTTTATGTAGTGTTGTGGTGTCTCTCTTTATGGTAGTGTTGTGGTGTCTCTCTTTTATGTAGTGTTGTGGTGTCTCTCTTTATGTAGTGTTGTGGTGTCTCTCTTTATGTAGTGTTGTGGTGTCTCTCTTATGTAGTGTTTGTTGGTGTCTCTCTTTATGTAGTGTTGTGGTGTCTCTCTTTATGTAGTGTTGTGGTGTCTCTCTTTATGTAGTGTTGTGGGTGTCTCTCTTTATGTAGTGTTGTGGTGTCTCTCTTTATGTAGTGTTGTGGTGTCTCTCTTTATGTAGTGTTGTGGTGTCTCTCTTTATGTAGTGTTGTGGTGTCTCTCTTTATGTAGTGTTGTGGTGTCTCTCTTTATGTAGTGTTGTGGTGTCTCTCTTTATGTATGTTGTGGTGTCTCTCTTTATGTAGTGTTGTGGTGTCCTCTTTATGTAGGGTTGTGGTGTCTCTCTTTATGTAGTGTTGTGGTGTCCCTCGTCTTTTATGTAGTGTTGTGGTGTCTCTCTTTATGTAGTGTTGTGGTGTCTCTCTTTATGTAGTGTTTGTGGTGTCTCTCTTTATGTAGTGTTGTGGTGTCTCTCTTTATGTAGTGTTGTGGTGTCTCTCTTTTATGTAGTTTTGTGGGTGTCCTCTCTTTATGTAGTGTTGTGGTGTCTCTCTTTATGTAGTGTTGTGGTGTCCTCTCTTTATGTAGTGTTGTGGTGTCTCTCTTTATGTAGTGTTGTGGCGTCTCTCTTTATGTAGTGTTGTGGCGTCTCTCTTTATGTAGTGTTGTGGCGTCTCTCTTTATGTAGTGTTTGTGGTGTCTCTCTTTATGTAGTGTTGTGGTGTCTCTCTTTATGTAGTGTTGTGGTGTCTCTCTTTATGTAGTGTTGTTGGTGTCTCTCTTTATGTAGTGTTGGTGGTGTCTCTCTTTATGTAGTGTTGTGGTGTCTCTCTTTATGTAGTGTTGTGGTGTCTCTCTTTATGTAGTGTTGTGGTGTCTCTCTTTATGTAGTGTTGTGGTGTCTCTCTTATGTAGTGTTGTGGTGTCTCTCTTTATGTAGTGTTGTGGTGTCTCTCTTTATGTAGTGTTGTGGTGTCTCTCTTTATGTAGTGTTGTGGCGTCTCTCTTTATGTAGTGTTGTGGCGTCTCTCTTTATGTAGTGTTGTGGTGTCTCTCTTTATGTAGTGTTGTGGTGTCTCTCTTTATGTAGTGTTGTGGTGTCTCTCTTTATGTAGTGTTGTGGTGTCTCTCTTTATGTAGTGTTGTGGTGTCTCTCTTGTCGTGATGTGTGTTTTGTCCTATATTATAATTCGATTTTTAATCCCCCGTCCCCGGAAGAGGCCTTTTGCCTTTTGGTAGGCCGTCATTGTAAATAAGAATTTGTTCTTAACTGACTTGCCTAGTTAAATAAAGGTTAAATAAAATAAAAAAAGTGGTGTGGGAAATACTCAGTCGGGTCTCTACTAACCAAATATGTGTAGTTTTGGAGGGGGACTGTGTCGTAAGGCCTGCTGCTGGCTTTTCACTCCACCCACTCTTATAGCGCCCAATGCAATACACTGTGGATAGTACCAGGTCATTTAAAGCTGTGTTGCTGGATATGTACGACAAAGTAATCCTCCAAAACTACACATATTTGGTTAGTTGAGACCCTACTGAGTATTTCCCACCCACTTTAGCTGGGGCAGGTAGACATTCTTTCTCTCTACAAGCCAATAAGTATCCTACACCGTGTATTGCATTGCAGTGAATGGGTGGAGTAAGGAGTCACCAGTACTCTGTATTAAACCCGTTGCCCAGCACAGGAGACCCATTTAAGTTTGACAGACTATTGAGTAATTCCAATAACACATATTTGTATTTTATTAAAAGTGTATGTATTTAAATATAGCCTACACAATAGGTTTCAACATACCAGTATTTGTGTAAAATACGTCAAATTATCCATTCATTTTTTCAAAGCTATTTTTGAAACCCTGTGAACTGCAGTTGACCTGCACTAGACTCTTATTTTGAAGATATTTTTTCCTACTGCATTTTATACTACTGCAAGGAGAACGGTAAACACAAAAATACGAATTTGGTGCAAATGGTCCTGAAAGCCCCATTGGTCGAACAGCTATGGTCACATCACATGATGCGCCATTCTGATTGGCGTATGAATTTCCTTCCAACTGAGATGTCCAATTACGGCACGGTTTGCTAACGTGGCTTTATTTGAGTTCACCTTCCGGACACGTGATTATCGGAGGAAAAGGTTATTTCACGATTTCTCGCCAAGTATAATTTCTAAATTAGCCATGGGGTAAGAGAAAAGTATCTACTTTATTCACAATATACCGTTTACACATATAATATATTACAATATTGATTCCACACTAGCTCGTTTGTTTATCATACTACCGCTTGATGTGTTTTGATGAACCAGCTTTTCGGGATTTTGCAGTGCCTTAGTATACTGTACTGATAGCTAGTTAGCTATATCAAACGTGCATGAAATTAATTATACATTTTGCAACCGTTTTTCCTCCAGGTTTGAATGAGGATGTTTCTGCTTCTTTGACTTTAGTCAGGACTCGCATCCCATGGTGCAAAGTGAAACCGGAGTCCTAGCCGGCTGACCGGAGCTGTCAACAGGAAGCATACACCATCATCAGCCAAACATTCAGAAGGGCTTCCGATGTCTCTACTAGAAGATATACTTGATCTGTTGCGAAATGGCCTTGAGTATTTCGGAGTCCCTCCTGAAATGGTAAAATGAGTTAAATATCACATCTGCAGGGCTCAATTTGTAGGATGCTTGTTTTGAGATTGTACGCAAAGTTTGAAGATTTTAAGAGTGCTTTTTGACTAAAATACGTGTGTGTGTCAGCTGGTTCCAGTGTGGGAGAGCCAGTTGTGTGGTCAGTACCGGAGCCTGGTGCGGATGATCGGGACCAACCTCCCATTGACCCCTTCTCCACGTATCCACTTCCAGGTCAATATGAATATAACTGGTTAAGGCTGGTCTAGGAGGTTCTTACCTAATACATCAGTCCTATCCATAACCATTGGGGGAGTTGGGAAATGGTCTAACTCTCAGCTGGCTCATACTGTCCACAGATTCCTCTACACACCTCCCGACAGCACGGATACCTAGATATCACCATGGATACCCACCACGCTATCCCCTCCTTTGCTGATGTGCTGTGGGTGGCGGAGGATGAGGGAGACTGCTTTGCCAAGATCAGGTAGATGGAACCCAGTAGATATACACAGAGACTCCTCAGACTGGTAGAACCCAGTAGATATACACAGAGACTCCTCAGGCTGGTAGAACCCAGTAGATATACACAGAGACTCCTCAGACTGGTAGAACCCAGTAGATATACACAGAGACTCCTCAGACTGGTAGAACCCAGTAGATATACACAGAGACTCCTCAGGCTGGTAGAACCCAGTAGATATACACAGAGACTCCTCAGACTGGTAGAACCCAGTAGATATACACAGAGACTCCTCAGACTGGTAGAACCCAGTAGATATACACAGAGACTCCTCAGACTGGTAGAACCCAGTAGATATACACAGAGACTCCTCAGACTGGTAGAACCCAGTAGATATACACAGAGACTCCTCAGACTGGTAGAACCCAGTAGATATACACAGAGACTCCTCAGGCTGGTAGAACCCAGTAGATATACACAGAGACTCCTCAGGCTGGTAGAACCCAGTAGATATACACAGAGACTCCTCAGACTGGTAGAACCCAGTAGATATACACAGAGACTCCTCAGACTGGTAGAACCCAGTAGATATACACAGAGACTCCTCAGACTGGTAGAACCCAGTAGATATACACAGAGACTCCTCAGACTGGTAGAACCCAGTAGATATACACAGAGACTCCTCAGGCTGGTAGAACCCAGTAGATATACACAGAGACTCCTCAGACTGGTAGAACCCAGTAGATATACACAGAGACTCCTCAGGCTGGTAGAACCCAGTAGATATACACAGAGACTCCTCAGACTGGTAGAACCCAGTAGATATACACAGAGACTCCTCAGACTGGTAGAACCCAGTAGATATACACAGAGACTCCTCAGACTGGTAGAACCCAGTAGATATACACAGAGACTCCTCAGGCTGGTAGAACCCAGTAGATATACACAGAGACTCCTCAGACTGGTAGAACCCAGTAGATATACACAGAGACTCCTCAGACTGGTAGAACCCAGTAGATATACACAGAGACTCCTCAGGCTGGTAGAACCCAGTAGATATACACAGAGACTCCTCAGGCTGGTAGAACCCAGTAGATATACACAGAGACTCATCAGACTGGTAGAACCCAGTAGATATACACAGAGACTCCTCAGACTGGTAGAACCCAGTAGATATACACAGAGACTCCTCAGACTGGTAGAACCCAGTAGATATACACAGAGACTCCTCAGACTGGTAGAACCCAGTAGATATACACAGAGACTCCTCAGACTGGTAGAACCCAGTAGATATACACAGAGACTCCTCAGGCTGGTAGAACCCAGTAGATATACACAGAGACTCCTCAGACTGGTAGAACCCAGTAGATATACACAGAGACTCCTCAGACTGGTAGAACCCAGTAGATATACACAGAGACTCCTCAGGCTGGTAGAACCCAGTAGATATACACAGAGACTCCTCAGGCTGGTAGAACCCAGTAGATATACACAGAGACTCCTCAGGCTGGTAGAACCCAGTAGATATACACATAGACTCCTCAGGCTGGTAGAACCCAGTAGATATACACAGAGACTCCTCAGACTGGTAGAACCCAGTAGATATACACATAGACTCCTCAGGCTGGTAGAACCCAGTAGATATACACAGAGACTCCTCAGACTGGTAGAACCCAGTAGATATACACAGAGACTCCTCAGACTGGTAGAACCCAGTAGATATACACAGAGACTCCTCAGACTGGTAGAACCCAGTAGATATTCACAGAGACTCCTCAGGCTGGTAGAACCCAGTAGATATACACAGAGACTCCTCAGACTGGTAGAACCCAGTAGATATACACAGAGACTCCTCAGGCTGGTAGAACCCAGTAGATATACACAGAGACTCCTCAGACTGGTAGAACCCAGTAGATATACACAGAGACTCCTCAGACTGGTAGAACCCAGTAGATATACACAGAGACTCCTCAGACTGGTAGAACCCAGTAGATATACACAGAGACTCCTCAGACTGGTAGAACCCAGTAGATATACACAGAGACTCCTCAGGCTGGTAGAACCCAGTAGATATACACAGAGACTCCTCAGACTGGTAGAACCCAGTAGATATACACAGAGACTCCTCAGACTGGTAGAACCCAGTAGATATACACAGAGACTCCTCAGACTGGTAGAACCCAGTAGATATACACAGAGACTCCTCAGACTGGTAGAACCCAGTAGATATACACAGAGACTCCTCAGACTGGTAGAACCCAGTAGATATACACAGAGACTCCTCAGGCTGGTAGAACCCAGTAGATATACACAGAGACTCCTCAGACTGGTAGAACCCAGTAGATATACTCACCTTGAGGCTTGTGTGTAGAATCCGATGGGGATATGTTATTGACACGCCAGCGAAAGAGAGTGAGAGCGATTATTACCCAACTGTAAACAAGTTAAGCTGGCTAGCTAGTAATTTTGGCTAACTGTTGGGTGAAAATATTCACTTATTTACTGTTAATTAGCCGTCATAAATCTTTGCAAGCAAACTCGACGCTTGTCCGAAACTGCATGGTGTCTCCAGTAATGTCTACTTTACTCCAGACATCTCCACTTTCCAAGCATATTATGAAAGGACTGTTTCTCAATCTGTCATTCCTTCTTGTCCGATCTCAGGCACTTTGAGCGTCCGTCCCGGCAGGGTGCTGTGAGTCGGGGCGATGAGGTGGCGCTGGTCCCTCCACTTCCAGGGGACCCAGGGTTGGCATCGGTCCGAGCCCAGCCAGGAGACATGATGCTGGGGCACAGATCAGACCCAGTGGCCCTCCGGAAGATCACAGCCCTGGAGGATGAGCTGCTCAAACTGCGAGCTCAGATTGCCATGATTGTCACCGCGCCACCCTCCGGTATAAACACACCCTACGTAGACATACAGACAGACACCCCTATCCCAGCCATGGTACACATCATTCCTCTATTATGAAAGTGATACATCAGACTTATCGTTTCTTCACCCTGTTCCCTCCCTCCTTTTCCTGTCATCCAGGTCCAGCCCATTCCCAGAACCTTCCGGGTACCCCTGGAATGTCCCCCGCCCTCACCTCCACCCCTTGCTGCCCTCCTCCTCCTCCTCCCTGCCCTCCCCCTCCTCCTCCTCCTCCTCCTCCCAGCTCCTCTGTAGGGCTGTCTGCGGTGGGGGATCTAATCCAGCAGTGCAGGGAGGCCGGTAAGGGTCATGCCCAGGGAAAGGGCCATGCGGCTGGGCAGGTTGGACTACTACAGCCCCAGGATGAGGCGGCAGGACAGGGCCCGGTCCCCTCCATGCTGGATGTACTGAATGATCTGAACCAGGTCAAACTACGCTCCGTGCAGAGGTAGGCATGGAGACTAAGGCATGTCATTGTTCTCCAGTTGGTTTAATACAGCAGCCTGTCTGTCTGAAGCAGCAGATCTGCCAACCTGCACGCCTTTTGCATGCAATCTGAGGTCAAATAACATTTTATTGGTCGCATACACATAATTAGCAGAAGTTATTGCAGGTGTAGCGAAATGCTTGTGTTATGAGGTATACCGGTACCACAGTAATACCACATAATACTTCTGATACCAACATTTTTAGAATACTGTTTCATATGATAGTACTACCCACATAGCCCTACCGATCTAAAGAACCAGCTGGCGCCTGTTATAAAATGTTTTATAAAGTCAGTTTTGTTTATAAATTCAGTTAAATACTTTTTTTTTTTTAAGCAACAGCCACTAGTCTCTTGTATGCGCCAGTCCAATAATATCCACTTCCCTTCCAGACATCGCTCACCTGCTTTTCTCCATCCCTCTTCCTCTGTTTCTCCATCAGTTTTTAAAGTTACATTTGTACTTTTTATACATTGGAGAAAGGCACAGAGTGAGCAAAGTTGATACATTTGTATCATTTCTTCACATGATATAACCAAGAGCACAGGCCAGTCTGAGTAGGCTTCGCTGTCGCCTGTCACACAGCCTCTGCGGAGGGGAGAAATGGAGCACGGTTTCGCGACAGGCGAAGAAAACGGCTTGTCTCTAGCCTAAAGGGTAAAAAGAATTACCCTTATTACCAGAGCTACCCTTTTTTCTTCCTGCGCGATTTATATAATTTCACAAACCATGTTGGCGACCGTTTTAAACTAATCCCGGGTGGATAATTATTGGTTTGATAACAAACAACGTTGTTCAGTCGTGTTACCTAGCTAGCTAACCACCTGGTAACTGGACAGTAGGTCTAGGCTGTTACCTAGCTAGCTAACCACCTGGTAACTGGACAGTAGGTCTAGGCTCATCTGATTGGCCCAGGAAGAAATGGCAAGGCTACTCATGAGACGGTAGGATTCATATAGACCTAATGGAAGACTAATCATCTCTCTCTTTCTGGTGCTCCTCATGAGATGGTAGGATTCATATAGACCTAATGGAAGACTAATCATCTCTCTCTTTCTGGTGCTCCTCATGAGATGGTAGGATTCATATAGACCTAATGGAAGACTAATCAGCTCTCTCTTTCTGGTGCTCCTCATGAGATGGTAGGATTCATATAGACCTAATGGAAGACTAATCAGCTCTCTCTTTCTGGTGCTCCTCATGAGATGGTAGGATTCATATAGACCTAATGGAAGACTAATCATCTCTCTCTTTCTGGTGCTCCTCATGAGATGGTAGGATTCATATAGACCTAATGGAAGACTAATCATCTCTCTCTTTCTGGTGCTCCTCATGAGATGGTAGGATTCATATAGACCTAATGGAAGACTAATCATCTCTCTCTTTCTGGTGCTCCTCATGAGATGGTAGGATTCATATAGACCTAATGGAAGACTAATCATCTCTCTCTTTCTGGTGCTCCTCATGAGATGGTAGGATTCATATAGACCTAATGGAAGACTAATCATCTCTCTCTTTCTGGTGCTCCTCATGAGATGGTAGGATTCATATAGACCTAATGGAAGACTAATCATCTCTCTCTTTCTGGTGCTCCTCATGAGATGGTAGGATTCATATAGACCTAATGGAAGACTAATCATCTCTCTCTTTCTGGTGCTCCTCATGAGATGGTAGGATTCATATAGACCTAATGGAAGACTAATCATCTCTCTCTTTCTGGTGCTCCTCATGAGACGGTAGGATTCGTATAGACCTAATGGAAGACTAATCATCTCTCTCTTTCTGGTGCTCCTCATGAGATGGTAGGATTCATATAGACCTAATGGAAGACTAATCATCTCTCTCTTTCTGGTGCTCCTTACATTCTGTTTGCTGTCTAACATTTTGGAAGTTGGGAGTCAGTGTGTGAGGAAGGGACTGAGGGAGTGAGTGAGGGAGGGAGGGACTGAGGGAGGGAGTGTGTGAGGGAGGGACTGAGGGAGGGAGTGTGTGAGGGAGGGACTGAGGGAGTGTGTGAGGGAGGGAGTGTGTGAGGGAGGGATTGTGTGAGGGAGGGTACTGAGAGAGTGAGGGACTGAGGGAGTGAGTGAGTGAGGGAGGGAGGGACTGAGGGAGGGAGGGACTGAGGGAGGGAGTGAGTGAGGGAGGTGACTGATGGGAGGGAGTGAGTGAGGGAGGGAGTGACTGAGGGATGGAGGGACTGAGGGAGAGTGTTGAGGGAGGGAGGGACTGAGGGAGGGAGTGATGTGAGGGGAGGGAGGGACTGAGGAGGGAGTGAGTGAGGGGAGGGAGGGACTGAGGGAGGGAGTGTGTGAGGGAGGGGGGGAGGGACTGAGGGAGGGAGTGTGTAGGAGGAGGGACTGAGAGAGGAGGACTGAGGGAGTAGTTGAGGAGTGAGGGACTGAGAGAGGGAGGACTGAGGAGTGAGTGTGTGAGGAAGGGAGTGAGTGTAGGGAGGGGAGGACTGAGGGAGGGAGTGTGTGGGAGGGAGGGACTGAGTGAGGGAGGGACTGAGGGAGTGAGTGTGGGGAGGAAGGGAGGGAGTGAGTGGAGTGAGGGACTGAGGCGGGAGTGTGTGAGGGAGGAGGGACTGAGGGGAGTGTAGTGAGGGAGGGAGGGACTGTGGGGAGGGACTTGTGTGTGGGGATGGACTGAGGAGGGAGTGGTGTGAGGAGGGAGGGATGTGGTGAGGGAGGGAGGGACTGGGGGGGAGTGGATGGGGGAGGGAGGGGGATGGGGGGGGGGATGGGAGAGTGTGTGAGGAGGAGGGAGGACTGGGGGAGGGACTGAGGGAGGGAGGCTGGGGAGGGAGTGTGTGAGGGAGGAACTGGAGGGAGGGAGTGGGGGGTGGGAGTGTGTGGTTTATGAGAGAGAGGGAGTCAGTGTGTGAGGGATAAACTGAGGGAGTGAGTGTGTGAGTGAGTGAGTGAATGTGAGGGAGGGAGTGTGTGAGGGAGGGAGTGTGTGAGGGAGGGACTGAGGGAGGAGGGAGGGAGGGACTGGGGGAGGGAGTGTGTGAGGGAGGGAGTGTGTGAGGGAGGTACTGGGGGAGGGAGGGACTGGGGGAGGGACTGAGGGAGGGAGTGTCTGTGTTAACTGAAAAGAAAAGAAGGGTTCATGCAGTGTTTTCTCCTTACTGACACAATGACATGCAGATCATTATGCATGCATATTCCTCCAGCCAAATCACAGGTAGGCCTTTGCAATTATGAGCAAATCAGCCATTCTATGCAGTATTATATTATACAGTGAACAGTGTAGGGCTGTCCCCGACTACAAAAAACTATTTGTCGACCGTCTGTTCTTTCGACCAATTGATGAAAAAAGACACAAATGCCTCAAGAGGGTGCCAGAGATCTAGATAACCAGAATGAGAAAAAACATAACCTGACCCAACTATTCTCCTCCTGCTGGCTTTCACCGATTCTGACGTTACTCTCCTGTAATAGGAGGAGTTCTCATGTGCCAATTTATCTTCCCGTTTCTACCGATTTGCATGGCAGTTATCATTTTCATATGCACAATTTCGTGGAACAGTTTCATTTCATTTATAAATGTCTTCTATCCAAATCTAAATGAAAAATGATCAACTTAAAAAGTAACTTCTATTGCCATCTCCAACTCTGTAAAAATAGCCTACGTAAAGCCAACCAATAACTATAAACATTGCAGCCTGCAGGTAGGTAATCTAAATGAAAATTAAACAAACCTAAAAAAAAAGGTCACTTTGCCAACTATGTAAAAATAGCCTATAAAGCCAACAAATAACATTGCAGCCTGCAGGTAGAAGAAATGCTGATAAAAATAAATATCCTGTCAATCACTTTGGCTATGCATGGCCTGTCTGCTACGAACTAGAAACATTGTATCATTTATCTGACCTGCAAATTTGCAACATTGTATAACATATTCTGGGCCCATATTTCCAGTGACAGTGAGCTCTGGACAGACACAGCTGTAGGCTATTTGTGCAAGGGATAAGAAGCAATCAGGTGGGCCTATTTTTATGACGTTTCAACTGGATCAGAGCATGACGTTTTTCCCTTTTCACGCCCGAGTGGTGATCAAAAGGGAGAGAGTTGGAAAGATTTTTCAAATGCATTTAGGAACTATTGTCAATCTCAATGGATGTAAAAACAGACTTTGTTTGCTTGCTGTTTGAGGTGAAGAAAACATTACTTTCAGAGACGCTCCACAGCTCATTAGTGGGGGTGCGTTAAGCCAATCAGAAATACTATCAGATCCCCAGAAGGGCAGGTTTATAGGCCAACATTTACACTCAGGCCAGGTAGCCTATAGGCCGACTTCTATGCGTAATCAGGTGCGTGACTCAACGCAAAAATAGGCTTCTACACTGAACAACAATATAAACGTAACATGTAAAGTGTTGGTCCCACGTTTCATGAGCTGAAATAAAAGATCCCTCAATTCTTTTTCCAGATGCACAAAAAGCGTATTTATCTCCAGATTTTGTGCATGTTTGTTTACATCCCTGTTAGTGGGCGTGTCTCCATCCACCTGACAGGTGTGGCCGACTGTTTCATACCGTGACGAGATCCTGAGGTCCGTTGTCGTGCAATTCATCCGCCGCAATCACCTCATGTTTCTGCATGATAATGCACGGCCCCATGTCGCAAACAACTGTACCCAATTCCTGGAAGCTGAAAATGTCCCAGTTCTTCCATGGCCTGCATACTCACCAGACATGTCACCCATTTAAGCATGTTTGGGATGCTCTGGGTCGACGTGTACGACAGCGTGTTCCAGTTCCCGCCAATATCCAGCAACTTCGCACAGCCATTGAAGAGGAGTGGGACAACATTCCACAGGCCTCAATCAACAGCCTGATCAACTCTATGTGAAGGAGATGTGTCGCGCTGCATGAGGCAAATGTTGGTCGCACCAGATACTGACTGGTTTTCTGATCCATGCCCCTACTTTTTTTTTTAAATAGATATCTGACCAACAGATGCATATCTGTATTCCAAGTCATGTGAAATCCATAGGTTAGGGCCTAATCAATTTGTTGCAATTATAAACTGTAGCTTAGTAAAAAGCAGGTCGCTGTGTGGATGGAAACAGACAGAGGGAGCTGTTCGGCTAATACCGTACTATAACAGTCATATGATAATGAATCAGTTATTGATGTGTCCTCTTGATATACACTCAGTGGCCAGTTTATTTAGTACCGGGTCATACCCCTCTTTGCCTCCAGAACATCCATAATTTTTTTAGGGCACGGAAATGTTGCTCAATTGGTATCAAGGGACCTAACGTGTGCCAGGAAAACATTCCCTACACAGCCACCAGCCTGTGCCGTTGACACCAGGCCATGGGGCACGAAGTCCAGCCATCAGCATGACTCGACAGGAACCAGGATTCGTCGGACCAGGCGACGTTTTCCACTCCTCAATTGTCCAGTGTTGGTGATGGCGTGCCCACTGGAGCCGCTTCTTCTTGTTTTTAGCTGATAGGGAGTGGAACCCGGTGTGGTCGTCTGCTGCAATAGCCCCGTCCGTGACAAGGACCGACGAGTTGTGCGTTCCGAGATGCCGTTCTACACACCACTGTTGTACATGTACTGCGCTGTTATTTGCCTGTTTTGTGGCCCGCCTGTTAGCTTCCACGATTTCCTGCCAGTCTCCTGCGACCTCTCATCAACAAGAGATACTGGTACCGATGATCATACCACGCTCAGTCGCTTAGGTCATTCGTTTTGCCCATTTCTAATGTTCAATCAAACAGCAGCTGCTTTTATATAGCAAGCATGACTCAGCATGTCTGTAGGAGTGAACCATTTTGTGAACGGGGTGTAAACTGGCCACAGTGTTGCTATGTCAACAGTAGGCTAATGATGTGATAATAAGTCAGTTCACCCAATGACAACGTTTCTCCTCAGACTGAAGGGGTAGCCTAGTAGTCGGACATAATTTACATTTTAGTCATTTAGCCGACGCTCTTATCCAGAGAGACTTACAGGAGCAATTAGGGTTAAGTGCCTTGCTCAAGGGCACATTGACAGATTATTCACCTAGTCGTCATCCCAGGTATTCGAACCAGCGACCTTTCGGTTACTGGCCCAACGCTCTTAACCGGTAGGAGATCTGAAACATAGTAGGCCTAGTTGTTTTCATATTCAAAATAGCCAACAGTAAGCTAGACGACTACATTGCATCCAGTAATTGAATTATTCCGATTTTAAGAGGCCAGTTTTACATTTTCACTAGACTATCCACATAGACACCTATTAATTAGAATTGTCATTATTCCTACATTTTACCTAGAAAATTGTGAAAGTGTAATTGAGACCACCGCAATTTCATGTAAGACTTCTGTGTTGGCTGCAGCGCCTTCAGAAAGTATTCATACCCCCTTATTCCACGTTTTGTTGTGTTACAACCTGAATTAAAAATGGTTTAAATAGATTTTTCTCTCTCAACCCATCTACACACAATACCCCATAATGACAAAGTGAAAACATGTTTTTAGACATTAAAACAAATTTATTGAAAATGAAATACACATATCTAATTTATGTAAGTATTCACATCCCTGAGTCAATACTTTGTAGAAGCACCTTTGGCAGCGATTACAGCTGTGAGTCTTTCTGGGTAAGTCTCTAAGAGCTTTCCACACCTGGATTGTGCAACATTTGCCCATTTATTATTTTCAAAATTCTTCAAGCTCTGTCAAATTGGTTTTTCAAGTCTTGCCATAGATTTTCAAGTAGATTTAAGTCAAAACTGTAACTCGGCCACTCAGGAACATTCACTGTCTTCTTGGTAAGCAACTCCAGTGTAGATTTGGTCTTGTGTTTTAGGTTATTGTCCTTCTGAAAGGCGAATTCGTCTCCCAGTGTCTGGTGGAAAGCAGACTGAACCAGGTTTTCCTCTAGGATTTTGCCTGTGCTTAGCTCCATTCCGTTTCTTTTTTATCTTGAACAACGCAAACGCATACCCATAACATGATGCAGCCACCACTGTGCTGGAAAATATGGAGAGTGGTTCTCAGTAATGTGTTGTATTGGATTTGTTTTCAGGACAAAAAGTTAATTGCTTTGCCACATTTTTTGCAGTATTACTTTAGTACCTTATTGCAAACAGGATGCATGTTTTGGAATATATTTATTCTGTACAGGCTTCCTTCTTTTCACTCTGTCAATTAGGTTAGTATTGTGGAGTAACTACAATGTTGTTGATCCATCCTCAGTTTTCTCCTATCACAGCCATTAAACTCTGTAACTGTTTTAAAGTCACCATTGGCCTCATGGTGAATTCCATGAGCGGTTTCCTTCCTCTTTGGCAACTGAGTTAGGAAGGACGCCTGTATCTTTGTAGTGACTGGGTGTATTGATACACCATCCAAAGGGTAATGAATAACTTCACCATGCTCAAAGGGATATTCAATGTCTGCTTTTATTTATATTTTTACCCATCTACCAATGGGTGCCCTTCTTTGCGAGGCATTGGAAAACCTCCCTGGTCTTTATGGTTGAATCTGTGTTTGACATTCACTGCTTGACTAACGTACCTTACAGATAATTGTATGTGGGGTAGAGAGATGAGGTAGTCATTCAAAAATCATGTTAAGCACTATTATTGCACACAGAGAGCTAGAACAAAGGGGTTGAATACTAACCCTAACCCATTAACTAATTTTGTTTAAAAACATCTAAAAACATCATTACACTTTGACATTATGGGGTATTGTGTGTAGGCCAGTGACCAAATCTCAATTTAATCCATTTTAAATTCAGGCTGTAAAACAACAAAATGTGGAAAAAGTAAAGGGGTGTGAATACTTTCTGAAGTCACTGTCACTTAAAAAAAATAATATATATATATATACACACAGTGGGGAGAACAAGTATTTGATACACTGCCGATTTTGCAGGTTTTCCTACTTACAAAGCATGTAGAGGTCTGTAATTTTTTATCATAGGTACACTTCAACTGTGAGAGACGGAATCTAAAACAAAAATCCAGAAAATCACATTGTATGATTTTTAAGTAATTAATTTGCATTTTATTGCATGACAAGTATTTGATACATCAGAAAAGCAGAACTTAATATTTGTTACAGAAACCTTTGTTTGCAATTACAGAGATCATACGTTTCCTGTAGGTCTTGATCAGGTTTGCACACACTGCAGCAGGGATTTTGGCCCACTCCTCCATACAGACCTTCTCCAGATCCTTCAGGTTTCAGGGCTTTCGCTGGGCAATACGGACTTTCAGCTCCCTCCAAAGATTTTCTATTGGGTTCAGGTCTGGAGACTGGCTAGGCCACTCCAGGACCTTGAGATGCTTCTTACGGAGCCACTCCTTAGTTGCCCTGGCTGTGTGTTTCGGGTCGTTGTCATGCTGGAAGACCCAGCCACGACCCATCTTCAATGCTCTTACTGAGGGAAGGAGGTTGTTGGCCAAGATCTCGCGATACATGGCCCCATCCATCCTCCCCTCAATACGGTGCAGTCGTCCTGTCCCCTTTGCAGAAAAGCATCCCCAAAGAATGATGTTTTCCACCTCCATTGTTCACGGTTGGGATGGTGTTCTTGGGGTTGTACTCATCCTTCTTCTTCCTCCAAATACGGCGAGTGGAGTTTAGACCAAAAAGCTCTATTTTTGTCTCATCAGACCACATGACCTTCTCCCATTCCTCCTCTGGATCATCCAGATGGTCATTGGCAAACTTCAGACGGGCCTGGACATGCGCTGGCTTGAGCAGGGGGACCTTGCGTGCGCTGCAGGATTTTAATCCATGACGGCGTAGTGTGTTACTAATGGTTTTCTTTGAGACTGTGGTCCCAGCTCTCTTCAGGTCATTGACCAGGTCCTGCCGTGTAGTTCTGGGCTGATCCCTCACCTTCCTCATGATCATTGATGCCCCACGAGGTGAGATCTAGCATGGAGCCCCAGACCGAGGGTGATTGACCGTCATCTTGAACTTCTTCCATTTTCTACTAATTGCGCCAACAGTTGTTGCCTTCTCACCAAGCTGCTTGCCTATTGTCCTGTAGCCCATCCCAGCCTTGTGCAGGTCTACAATTTTATCCCTGATGTCCTTACACAGCTCTCTGGTCTTGGCCATTGTGGAGAGGTTGGAGTCTGTTTGATTGAGTGTGTGGACAGGTGTCTTTTTATACAGGTAACGAGTTCAAACAGGTGCAGTTAATACAGGTAATGGGTGGAGAACAGGAGGGCTTCTTAAAGAAAAACGCAAATTAATTACTTAAAAATCATACAATGTGATTTTCTGGATTTTTGTTTTAGATTCCGTCTCTCACAGTTGAAGTGTACCTATGATAAAAATTACAGACCTCTACATGCTTTGTAAGTAGGAAAACCTGCTAAATCGGCAGTGTATCAAATACTTGTTCTCCCCACTGTACATAGAATCATAATAATATATCTCCCCCCCCCCCCCCCCCCCCCCCCACCTCCACAAAAAAAAATAGGTGGTAGATCAGGTTTAATACTGCAGATAGATTGTATCAATGTAATTGTCTGCATCATTTCCAATCCCCCATGTTTTTTTTGCATGTATAATTTCATCAATTTTAGAATAAGGCTGTAACGTAAAAAATAATGTGGGAAAAGTGAAGGGGTCTGAATACTTTCCGAAATGCACTGTGTATACAATGGCTTGCGAAAGTATTCACCCCTCTTGGCATTTTTCCTATTTTGTTGCCTTGCAACCTGGAATTAAAATTGATTTTTTGGTGGTTTGTATCATTTGATTTACACAACATGCCTACCACTTTTTGAAGATGCAAAATATTTTTTATTGTGAAACAAAAAAAAAAAAAAACGTGTTTGAGAGCATCAAAACCATGATGTATCATGGGTAAATTGTGACTGACTGATCTATAAATAATAATGAGTAGTGATTTATGATGCAAGGTGTGGAACATTCTCTAACTGACACTGAATGTTATATAGTGTTGTGTTTGCTCCGCCCCCAGGTCGCCTGGGGGAACGCCGGTGCGGAGGAGGCGGAGCAATGGCACAGTGTTGCTAAGCGACCCGGCCTCCATGATTGCCGAGGCACTGAGGAGGAAGTTCGCCCACCGTCGCCTCGATGACTCGTACGACAAAGAGAACCGCTCGGCAGAGCTCTCGCCGTTCGGCAGCCCCGATACGTCGCCCTGTGTAAGTACGAACACATACACTCCCATACAGAACCACACAGCAGCGACTGTCTTTCTGTGGTCAGCCAGCAGTGTCTGTCTCTCTGTGGTCAGCCAGCAGTGTCTGTCTCTCTGTGGTCAGCCCCAGTGTCTGTCTTTCTGTGGTCAGCCCCAGTGTCTGTCTCTCTGTGGTCAGCCCCAGTGTCTGTCTCTCTGTGGTCAGCCCCAGTGTCTGTCTCTCTGTGGTCAGCCCCAGTGTCTGTCTCTCTGTGGTCAGCCAGCAGCTGGTGCTGTTTCTCTGTAGTGTGTGTGTGTGTGTGTGTGTGTGTGTGTGTGTGTGTTGTAGCTGAGATGGCAAAATTCCCGGGTTTTCTAGAAATTCTGGTTATAAAAAAATAAAGGAATTTGGGTAAAGTTACGGGAATTTTGCAACCTAGTAGGGCTCTGGTCAAAAGAAGTACACTATATAGGGTGCCAGTTGGGACACATTTGTTCTCCTCCTCTTATAATAATAATAATAATAATAATAATATGCCATTTAGCAGACGCTTTTATCCAAAGCGACTTAGTCATGCGTGCATACATTTTTGTGTATGGGTGGTCCCGGGGATCGAACCCACTACCTTGGCGTTACAAGCGCCGTGCTCTACCAGCTGAGCTACAGAGGACCACTCTTACCTGGTCATGTGACGTGTCATTGTTTCAGATCCCCCAGCATTCCAGACGCAGCCAGGGACGACTCCACCTGTGACCTCTGACCCAGCCTTCCAGACGCAGCCAGGGACGACTCCACCTGTGACCTCTGACCCAGCCTTCCAGACGCAGCCAGGGACGACTCCACCTGTGACCTCTAACCTCCCAAAGTGAACTGAACCAGCAGCCGATCACGTCGCCACCTGACACGCCGATGCCTCCCTCCGACTGCTATGGCAACTGCTGACCGAGGGTGCATCCCAATAATACCTCCTTTCTCATGAAGTGTACACTTGTTCACTACTTCAGATCGGTGAAGGGAAGTGAACAAGTGTACACTTTGGGAGGAAGGAGAGATAATTGGGACGTGGCCTTCTCTTGTCTTCAACATGTTCTGTCATGACGCGTCCATCAGATATATATGTTTATATAAGGGGGGTGTTGATATTGAGTGTCATTTCACTTGTTGTAAGGTTTATTGTTTTTATACAGTTGAATGATTCCATGTTTCTGTTGGCTAGGATTGCTGGGCCGTATTCATTAGTGAACACTGGAGCAAAACGTTTAGCCAACCTTTTACAACCTCCGCATGTACCGACCTCCCTTGTAAAATTTGAAGTAATGATCTATTCTTATAATATGGACAAATTTTAGCTCTTTTTTTTATACAAATACTTGGTCTTTGTTTTATTCGTTCTTATCTACTGCTCTCCTGACCAAATCATATTTTCAACAGGCATTTGTTTTCTCCAAACTATTTGGGCTGTGTTTTTCTGTGAGGTAAAGGACAAGACACACCAACATGAACGTTGGCGGTGCGTAGGCGGGGGGGCGTTGGCGGTGCGTAGGCGGGGGGGCGTTGGCGGTGCGTAGGCGGGGGGATAAAACATGTTATTGATATACATTAACACATTGTAAAACATGTTAAGACATTAACACAGTGTATGACATGTTATTGATATACAGTACCAGTCAATGGTTTGGACACACCTACTCATTCAAGGGTTTTTCTTTATTTGTACTATTTTTTACATTGTAGAATAATAGTGAAGACAACTATGAAATAACACATATGGAATCATGTAGTAACCAAAAAAGTGTTAAACAAATAAAAATATATTTTATATTTAAGATTCTTCAAAGTAGCCACCCTTTGCCTTGACAACAGCTTTGCACACTCTTGGCATTCTCTCAACCAGCTTCATGAGGTAGTCACCTGGAATGCATTTCAATTAACAGGTGTGCCTTGTTAAAAGTTAATTTGTGGAATTTTTTTCCTTCTTAATGCGTTTGAGCCAATCAGTTGTGTTGTGACAAGGTAGGGGGGTATACAGAAGATAGCCCTAGCCCTACATTAACACAGTGTATACATTCACAGAGTAAGACATGTTATTGATATACATTCACAGTTGTATTTATTTATTTCACCTTTATTTAAGCAGGTAAGCCAGTTGAGAACAAGTTCTCATTTACAACTGCGACCTGGCCAAGATAAAGCAAAGCAGTGCGATTAAAAACAACAACACAGAGTTACATATGGGGTAAAACAAAACATAAAGTCAAAAATACCACAGAAAATATATATATACAGTGTGTGCAAATGTAGTAAGTTATGGAGGTAAGGCAATAAATAGGCCATAGTGCAAAATAGTTACAATTAGTATTAACACTGGAATGATAGATGTGCAAAAGATGATGTGCAAATAGAGATACTGGGGTGCAAATTAGCAAAATAAATAACAATCTGGGGATGAGGTAGTTGGGTGGGCTAATTTCAGATGGGCTGTGTATAGGTGCAGTGATCGGTAAGGTGCTCTGACAACTGACGCTTAAAGTTAGTGAGGGAGATAAGAGTCTCCAGCTTCAGAGATTTTTGCAGTTCGTTCCAGTCATTGGCAGCAGAGAACTGGAAGGAATGGCGGCCAAAGGAGGTGTTGGCTTTGGGGATGACCAGTGAGATATACCTGCTGGAGCGCATACTACGGGTGGGTGCTGCTATGGTGACCAATGAGCTAAGATAAGACCGGGATTTGCCTAGCAGTGATTTATAGATGTCCTGGAGCCAGTGGGTTTGGCGACGAATATGTAGTGAGGGCCAGCCAACAAGAGCGTACAGGTCACAATGGTGGGTAGTATATGGGGCTTTGGTGACAAAACGGATGGCACTGTGATAGACTACATCCAATTTGCTGAGTAGGGTGTTGGAGGCTATTTTGTAAATCGCCGAAGTCAAGGATCGGTAGGATAGTCCGTTTTACGAGGGCATGTTTGGCAGCATGAGTGAAGGAGGCTTTGTTGCGAAATAGGAAGCCGATTCTAGATTTAACTTTGGATTGGAGATTCTTAATGTGAGTCTGGAAGGAGAGTTTACAGTCTAATTATTTGTAGTTGTCCACATACTCTAGGTCAGACCCGTCGAGAGTGGTGATTCTAGTCGGGTGGGCGGGTGCCAGCAGCGTTCGATTGAAGAGCATGCATTTAGTTTTACTAGTGTTTAAGAGCAGTTGGAGGCTACGGAAGGAGTGTTGTATGACATTGAAGCTCGTTTGGAGGTTTGTTAACACAGTGTCCAATGAAGGGCCAGATGTATACAAAATGGTGTCGTCCGCATAGAGGTGGATCCGAGCGTCACCAGCAGCAAGAGCGACATCATTGATATACACAGAGAATAGAGTCGGCCCGAGAATTGTACCCTGTGGCACGCCCATAGAGACTGCCAGAGGTCCAGACAACAGGCCCTCTGATTGACACATTGAACTCTAACAGTGTAAGACATGTAATTGATATACATTCACACAGTATGACATGTTAATGATATACAGTGCATTCGGAAAGTATTCAGACCCCTTGACATTTTCCACATTTTGTTACGTTAGCCTTATTCTAAAATTGATTAAATTGTTTTTTTCCCCTCATCAATCTACACACAATGACCCATAATGACAACGCAAAAAAAAAAATAATTTGTGCAAATTTATAACAAAAAACAACTATCACATTTACATATGTATTCAGACCCTTTACTCAGTACTTTGTTGAAGCACCTTTGGCAGCGATTACAGCCTCGAGTCTTCTTGGGTATGACACTCCCATTTTTCTCTGCAGATCCTCTCAAGCTCTGTCAGGTTGGATGTGGAGCGTTGCTGCACAGCTATTTTCAGGTCTCTCCAGAGATGTTCGATCGGGTTCAAGTCCGGGCTCTGGCTGGGCCACTCAAGGACATTCAGAGACTTGTCCCGAAGCCACTCCTGCATTGTCTTGGCTGTGTGCTTAGGGTCGTTGTCCTGTTGGAAGGTGAACCTTCACCCCAGTCTGAAGTCCTGAGCGCTCTGGAGCGGGTTTTCATCAAGGATCTCTCTGTACTTTGCTCTGTTCATTTTTCCCTCGATCCTGACTAGTCTCCCAGTCCCTGCTGCTGAAAAACATCCCCACAGCATGATGCTGCCACCACCATGCTTCACCGTAGGGATGGTGCCAGGTTTCCTCCAGACGTGACGCTTGGCATTCAGGCCAAAGAGTTAAATCTTGGTTTCATCAGACCAGAGAATCTTGTTTCTCATGGTCTGAGATTCCTTTAGGTGCCTTTTGGCAAACTCCAAGCGGGCTGTCATGTGCCTTTTACTGAGGAGTGGCTTCCGTCTGGCCACTCTACCATAAAGGCCTGATTGGTGGAGTGCTACAGAGATGGTTGTCCTTCTTGAAGGTTCTCCCATCTCCACAGAGGAACTCTGGAGCTCTGTCAGAGTGACCATCGGGTTCTTGGTCACCTCCCTGACCAAGGCCCTTCTCCCCCGATTGCTCAGTTTGGCCGGGCGGCCAGCTCTAGGAAGAGTCTTGGTGGTTTCAAACTTCTTCCATTTAAGAATGATGGAGGCCACTGTGTTCTTGGGGACCTTCAATGCTGCAGAAGTTTTTTTGTACCCTTCCCCAAATCTGTGTCTCGACACAATCCTGTCTTCGGAGCTCTACGGACAATTCCTTCGACCTCATGGCTTGGTTTTTGCTTTGCCTTCGACCTCATGTCAACTGCGGGATCTTATACAGACAGGTGTGTCTTTCCAAATCATGTCCAATCAATTGAATTTACCACAAGTGGACTCCAATCAAGTTGTAGAAACATCTCAAGAATGATCAATAGAAACAGGATGCACCTGAGCTCAATTTCGAGTCTCATAGCAAAGGGTATGAATACTTACTTATTTTTATTTTTTTATAAATGTGCAAACCTTTTTTCGCTTTGACATTATGGGGTATTGTGTGTAGATTGATGAGGGAAAATATTTATTTAATCCATTTTAGAATAAGGCTGTAACGTAACAATGTGGAAAA